GGGGACTGCTGCGCGAGCGGAGGAGTGGGTCGCGGACACAACTGTGCGCCTGGTGATGTAGGCCGCCCATCTGCCAGCAAGGTGCCATGGACTGCATCGGCACGGCCCGCTTGCGACCATGCTGGCTGATCTGGAGAAAACGGAAGGTGTAGGGTTGCGGGGGGGGTTGTGGCACATTGTGCCCACCCGGGCGGAGGGGGCGGCTCGAGCCTCGAGGCCTGTGCCGCGGCGTCGCGGTGCAGCGTCAGCAGCTGGTCAGCAGTGCGACAGTGCGTCCACCCCGCCGGCGAATGGGCCGGGGTGAACGAGGTCGTGTCCGTGTCCAGGTGGCCTGTACCGCAGACACGTGAGACACGCTTGCTGACGGATTGCCCTTTGCGTCCTGTTCGTGGCGTCTACGGCCTCAGCAAGTAGGCAAACTCGCCAGGTATGCGTGCGTTGTGTGCAGTCCACCTACGGGAGTGGGTGGGTCAAATCAACCACCTGGTACGATGTCGGAAAGGGCAAAAGGACAATGGAATCCTTGAAGTAACCCGAGGGTCCAGTACCGCATCCCTTACACCGCCGCCCCTACGTTCTGCCTGCCCGAGCCCCGCCCCGCGCGGCCTGGCCCTGTTGTTTCGCCCCTCTGTCATATTCTCGTGGGACGGTGCGAGTGCGGTGCGTCCCGCGTAGAACTGCATCGTTCGGCGGTATTTGGCAAGCGCGACGCGCGGGTGGTCAGCGTTTCTAGGCCAAGAACGGGGTGCAGCTCGAGTCGAGTCCGCGCCGCGCCACGCCGCACCACGTCAAATCAGTCCGGGCCGCACCACGCACTCGCACGTACCGCGCCATGGTCACGCGGCCGTGATCGAGAAGGGCCGCCGAGCAGGAAGTGATCGCCTTCCCGACCCCAGCATCACTCTTGACGTTCGACGAGACGAGTCCGAAATGCGCGCGTCCCACTACGTGGCCCTCGCGGCCGCGCTGCTGGCCCTCGCCGCGATGCCTTCGGTGTCGGCGGGGCCGCTCGAGGACGTCGCGGATGCGGTCAGGGGACTCCCCATGGTGCTCGACAAGGTGGAGGACGTCGACAGGCGGCTTGCTAGCCTGGGGAAGGCCGGCGACGTGATATCTGACGTTCCTTTGACTCTGGACGGTGTGGACGCGGCGATGGACGTCCCTCTCGACGATTTGAGATCGACCACAGACGTCCCCGTCGTCCCGGACAGCGAGGCGCCGGCTGAGGAGACGACCACGAGCGAGGGTGAGAACGTCCCGGTGAGTGTTGAAGGGGTGACCACCGCCCGCACTGCCGGTGTGAAGACCGTCGAGTCCGAGATTCGGCCGACGGAGAGCGATGCTACGGAAGCGGTAGAGATGGGCAGCACGGAGACCCCCGAGGCGCTGAAGAAGGCCCGCGAGCAACTGCAGAAGACGGTGGATCAGGTGCTCAAGGAAGCCGAGCAGTTGGCGAGGACCGCGGACGAGGACGAGTATTACGATGATGAGGAGGGAGCGGCTGAGCGCGATGAGGCCATCCAGAAGGCGCGCGCTGACCTGAAGTACATGGTAGAACAGATGCTGACGGACACGGAGCAGCAGGCGCTGCAGGAGGCCCTGGACGACGATGGCGAGGAGGAGAGCGACACCAATGACATCAGTGAGAAGCCCCCGAGGAGTACTGAGCCCACCACCCAGGCCGAGACTACCCGCGTGGACGCCGAGGTGCCCGATGACGGTGCCGAGAACAGTGTCCAAGCAGCGCTTGCAACTACGAGTGAATCCAAACCTTCGACTGTCCCAACGCCCACGACAACGTCGAAAAGTAGCACTAGCACCACGCCTCGAAGGCCGATGACAACGTCGGAGGGTAGCACCGCTGCGTCTCCAACTACTATTGAGAGCAAAACACCGGTGGCTTCGAGTACAACTACGGCGTCTGCGAGCACGACGACGAACACCCCGAGCACGACGGCCACGTGGACGACAGAGAAAAACCAGTACCAGCATCTGGTTGTGCCCCTTGGAGAGGCAGAGCAGAACGCGAGCGTTCACATCGAGAAGGAACTCGAGGTCACCGTGCCTCCGGGTATCCCGGATGACGAGGACATCATCGAGGCGGCTGTGGCGGCCGCGACCGCCGTCCACGTCAACAAGCAGATGTCGTCGTCCTACTGCCCCACCAAGCAGCCCGCACCGCTGCGCCTACCCGCCCTGCCCAACGGAGCTCCCGACTCCGACAACCCGCAGTGCGCCAGGGACTCGCGGCTGCTCGACCTCCACATCAGGAACCACACGCTGTGGGCCGTGCAGAGTAAGTGAAGTGCCCCTGCCTCGGGAGGGAACGGGGTGCATCTCCGGGGCCGTGTGCAGCGGGGTGGAGCGGGGAGTGCCGCTGACTTGCGGCTTTCTGTTTGCAGTGCAGGACGCGGGTGCGGCGGGCATCACCGGGCTGCTGGAGGGCAACGTGTACCACCTGGGAGACTTCGATGAGTGCATGGACGTGAGGGGCCCGGTGGGCACCCAGTACTGCGTGGTAGAGGTTCACATCCACACGCCGCCCCGCACGCCGGACCACCGCCACCACCCGGACCTCCCCGCCGACCCGATGCAGTCCGTGTGGAACCGCATCAAGGTGAGACAGCCTCCTGACTAATCTAACATGTAAGTCTACCTCAGTCAGGGCAACCATTCTAAAACGTATCGGAATTGCTGCAGCACGAGGGCGAGAAGTGGACACTCCCGCTGGACACGCTGCACGTGGCTCTGTGCGCGCCGAGCACGTGCGACGCGCGGGACCTCCAGGACACGGTGCAGCGCGCCCTCGACGACCACGCCAACTGCTCCAACCTCCCCGTGGCCTACACCGTCACCATCTCCGAGGCCCTGTGCACCTCAGCCAACAAGCAACGGCCTCCCTTCTCCGAGGGTGAAATCGTCTACATGTGAGTTACAACCCTAATAACTCTAGCCGATTGATGAGATCGCTACACTGCAAACTGGGAGGTTGTACCAGCTGGCTGGTTCGCCCCAGCCACAGTTCCGTGTAGTGTAACTACGGAAGTGGGTGGGGCGAATCAGCCACCTGGTATTGACTACAAAGATCCTCTTCAACAGAGTCGTCGTCGCGGTACTCGTCCTCATGGTTATGTCCGGGACCCTGATCGACTTCTTTGCGACTAAAAAGAGTAGGTATCCCTCCTATTCAAGCGGGACCACGCCATGTCATACCGGGTGTCCGAGAGAATACGCGGCAGCTCGATGGGTTGCCAACGCACTGACGTGCAGGCGTGTAAGGCAAGGGGTGGAGCGGTGGAGGTGACGGAAGGCAACTAAGGCAACCGACCGTCTTCCACCACCTCCACCGCTACCCCCTTGCCCTCCTCGCCTGCACTCCAGTGCGTAGGCAACCCATCGAGCCGCCGCGTATTCTCCCGGATACCCGGTATCACAGTACACACATTCTTACCCCCCCCCCCCCCTCTCTCTCTCTCCCAGAGGGCCTCCGCTGGATCCTGGTGGTGTTCTCGCTCAAACGCAGTTGGCACATGCTTACCAAGGCCGACCCGAGGCCCATGGGGCTGAACCTGGACCCGCTGTCCGGCGCGCGCACCATCAACATGGTGGTGCTGGTCATCGCCCACCGGGGCTTCAACCTGATGCGCGGCCCGGTGCACAACTACAACCAGTACGAGTCGGTAAGCACCCCCCGGCCCCGGCCTACCTCGACATCGTCACGTGCCATCCCTTCTTCAATCGGCGTGCTCCTGCTGCCACCAGATTCCCCGGGCCATGCAGCAGACGGTCGCGACCCACGCCCAGCTCTTCGTGGACACTTGCTTCGCGCTCAGTGGTCTGCTCGTGGCTCTGCTCGAGCTGACGCGTGCGCACGCCTACGGCAAGGACAGCGACTCGCGGGCCCCCCTCATGGCGGCCCTCGTGCACAGATACGTGCGGTACGTTCACGCAGTGTGATCCGGCGACGTTCGGCGATCAGCAGGTCCTGGTGACTGACGCCCACCTCGTGCTCCTTAGGTTGACGCCTAGCTACGCGATGGTCGTGTTCTTCTACGCGACCCTCTTCTGGCGCTTTGGCTCAGGTCCCCTCTGGGACCAGGTCATCGGACACGAGAGCCAGGCCTGCGCCAGTTACTGGTGGACCAACATCTTCTACGTCAACAACTACATCAATACGGATAAACTGGTCAGTCTACCACTATGATCTGCTACAGCCACCCCATGAGTAGGTGAACTTGCAGCCTTACCGGCCGCACATCGCGCTGGCCCCGCCACAGTGCATGTTCCAGTCCTGGTACCTGCCCGTCGACCTGCACCTGTTCTTCATCGGGTCGGCGCTCACGCTGCTCCTGTCCCGGCACCGGCGTACTGGTCTCGGCTTCCTGGTCGTGTTCCTCGGCCTGTCCATGCTGATCCCGTTCCTCGTCACGTACTTCGGCAACAAGCCCGCCCTGCTGGAGATGCTGCCCAGGTGAGCGCGCCGCGCGTGCCGCGCAGGGCCGCAGGGCGCCGCCACCCGCCCTTGCATCCGTCCGACTCGCGCCCTACCCCGGCCC